GCTTCCATTCCATTGGCCGTTTTCACTGAATGATTGTGATAGTGAGGAAGGGGGTGCAGAGGAAGGGAGTGCAGAGCAGGAGAACTTGTGGCTATCCTGTGCTCAGCAGCCGCTCTAGTCTCTGCCCACTAGATGTCAGCAGCACCCCCACTTACAGAATCCACAAAGGCTTCGTCACTCTGTGGACAGAACTTTCTTTTTTTTTTTTTGTTTTTTTTAAAGATTTATTTATTTATTTCATGTATGTGAGTATACTGTCACTGTCTTCACACACACCAGAAGAGGGTATCCAATCTCATTACGGATGGTTGTGAGCCACCATGTGGTTGCTGGGAATTGAACTCAGGACCTCTGGAAGAGCAGTCAGTGCTCTTAACCGCTGAGCCATCTCTCCAGCCCTGGACAGAACTTTCAAAGTTGGAACAGAATAGCCCCAAGTAGCAGAGTCGCCTCTGGTTTGGAAACCACCATTGCTACTGCACAGCAACAGTTGACACCACAGCTGGAAGTGGCTCAGCTGCAGAGGTGGGCTTCGTTATTTTAATTACAGTGGAACATCCATTTGGAATATGAATTTACTCATACATCTTTAAAAAAAGATATTTTATTACGTGTGTCTCTCTGCATGTGAGTTCAGAGGCCAAAAGAAGGTGTTGGATTCTCTGGAGCTGGAGTTCCAGGCAGCTGTAATCTGACCAGTTTGTGTGTGGGGCACAGAACTCAGATCCTATGTAAGAACAGTCATAAACCACTGAGCCGTTCTCCAGTGTCCCTCACAGGGTCTCATGTAGTGCAGGCTTGCTTCAAACTTGCTATGTCTCTCAGGATGGTTTTGAACTCCTCATCCTCCTGCCTCCATCTCCCTAGTGCTGGGGTGACAGGCGTGTGCCACCATGCCTGGTTTATGTGGTGCTGAGGATGGACACTACGACCTCATGGTAGGGAAGGCAAACACTCCAGCCACCGAGTCAAGTCCTGAGTCTTAATTTCTTTGTGTATTTTATCTCAGTTTTACAAGGTGTAGCTGATAGACACAGGCAGGCAGGCAGGCAGACAGATAGATAGACAGACAGACAGATAGAAAGAAACATAGCGAATGTACACAGAACAAGCCCAATGGCTAGGGTTACTGTTGCTGGGGATCAAGTCCCAGATCACCTGCTTTGCTTGTGTGGCTTTTGGCAGCTTATCCTCTCTGAGCCTGGATTTCCGTATTTGTCAAGTGAAAATAATAGTCACACATATCTGCTAAGATTCCTTCTGACGTCCATATAGATACTATAGTCTTGGAAAGACACAAACACCAGTAACAGCATCTGGCACACATCAAGTGCTGACTAATGTCGCTGCTGTTATAGACCTCATCAGGTTATATGTTCAAAGGACTTATAAATCCCTCTTGGAGTTAATCTTGGTTTATAAATCCTGCTTTCCATGGAAGTAGAAAGAGAGGCAGAGTTTGGTTTAGGTCTCTTAGAAAAGTGTTTTATTTAAGTTTAGTCTTTTGCGTGTAATTTCATAAATGAATTGTTGGGTTTTTATAGAGATGTTTAAATGGAATATTCTCTTCCTTCTATTCTGTAAATGGTCTTTGCTGGCACGGAACCGTTCCTCTGTTAGTGCTGACTTAGTTTAGTTTTGGTGTGTATGTGTATGGTGTATGTTTGTGTGGTGTACTCTTGGGAGTGTGTGGGAGGGGGGCAAGTACCATGCTGTCTGTGGAGGCCAGGGGAGGACATCAGGTGACCAGCTGTGTCACTCTCTACCTTACTGCCCTGTTTCAGGTTCTTACACTGAACCTGGAGTGAGGCTGGCAGCCAGTGACAGAGATCCTGTCTCTGTCCATCCCCCAGCCCCTACTCCATCCCTAGGGTCACAGATGTGTGTGGCCATGCCCGACTTTTTATTTGAGTTCTGGGGATTCGAACTTATGTTCTCATGCTTGTACCCCTTGCATTCTCACACACCGAGCCACCTTGTCTGTCATTGGGATTTTCATAGAGGTGTCGAAACAGATCCCTGGCCCTTGGCTTGCTTTATTTCTGCAAGGCTTAGTTCTAAGTCCGACAGGGTTAAGGTGCTAAAACAGGCAGACAAACAAAAACGACTGTTTTGTTAGTCTGGAAATGGTTGCTTTGTGTTGCCCAGCTAGCCCAGCACTCTGTGTAGCCCAGGCTAGCTTGGTATTTGCTGTGTAGCCCAGGTTGTAAACTTGTTGCATTCTTGCCACAGCCCTTTAAGAGCTGAGCTTACTGGGTTACCATTGCTAAGCGTGCACAAATCCCCTATTTTACAAAGATAGGCATTGAACATACTGAGGAACATGTGTGCTTTGGATCCCATCCTCCCTCAGGTTTATTTTCACCCACTGCTGCTCTAGGCTAGGAGAGCTGGTGAATTTTCCTTGGTAATTGGCCACTTTCTTTGCATCTGATTTTTTTTTTTTAAGTTGGTAACTTTCCAAGAATCCAATTATATTACTCACAGTTTACTGCTTTTGTGTGTACTTCAGTCTTTTTTGCCCTGGCTTTCTTGATTTGATCAGAACTTTCAGGAAGACTTTAAAACAACAGGATAGACAGCCTTCTGTGAGTTTAACTGGGAATGTCTCTTTTATTTTTTAAATTTTGTGTGTGTGTGTGTCTGTGTGTGTCTGTGTCTGTGCACAAGACTGCAAGTGCCCATAGAGGCCAGAAGAGGGCGTCAGATCCCGGGAGCTGAAATTCCAGGTTATTCTGAGCTGTTCAGCATAGATGCTGGGAACTGAATTCAAGTCTCTGCAAGAGCAGGATGTGTTCTTAACTGTTGAATATCTCTCTCTCCAGCTCAGCTCTATCTGTGTCTTCAGTTTGATGTGGGAGCCTGACAGCTATTTAAAGGGAATTTAGAAATGCCCTGTCTTTCCTTGCCTGGTAAAATGCCTTTCTAAAGAAATAGATAGGAATGAAATGCTTTTGATATGTCCGACAGATGCTCTTTAGTATAAATTTCTAAGCTTGCTCCATGAAAGGTCTCACATGTGCAGGGTTCTGTAGCATTCAGGAACCTGTGCCCCCCAGCACCCAGGAAATAGAGGCAGAAGTTCAAGGTTGTGCTTGGCTAGCCTGGGCTGCAGGAGACTTGCTTTAAAAAAAAAATTACTCTCGTGTTTTTTTCTTTTATAAATTAACGCTTTTCTTTTCCCCAAACATAGAAGTGTAGGGAGCTTGGAGTCTTGTCTTTTCTCTCTATTATTTTGAGCCCTGCTCAGTAAAGCTCCTGGGAACTTGCATTTGTTACCCAGGTCTGGCTTCCCCTCAAGGACAGAATGTTAGCCTTTGATTTTACGTTATCAGTAGTGGTCTTTCAAGGGTTTCTAGAATGCTCTTAACTCTTACTCGTTATGTTCAGGCCCAGGAAGGTGGCCGAGTCTTGGGTTGTCCATCTTTCAGAGTCTTTAATGACTGCCATCTTAGTGCTTTCTGTAAAAACCCGGACCAATCTGAGTTCTCTGGTAGACGTTGGTTAGACCCATGAGCATGATTCTCCTGGCAACAAGAAAGGCCAGCGATTATAAATGACAAGAAAGCCAGAAAGAAAAGAATGATAATCCATGTTATTCACAGTCCACGTGATTCTCGTGTGAACTTGAAAAGCTTGAAAAGGTTATTTAAGTTAATCTTCCATCGCCTAACATGATGTATTCAACTTTTCATTAGAATGTAGCAGTTTACTGATACCACGACTCATTTTGACATTTTCTTACATGTCCGTAATGCCTTTTGGTCATTTCACCGTCCTTTCCCCTCTTTTGTCATGCTCCACCCAGTTTTCTAACTGGTCTCCCTTTTATTTTAATGCTTTTTTTTTTTTTTTTTTTGTGCCCCGGAAAGTTTTTTTTTTTTTTTTTTAAGTGTGCGCACACACTCATGTATTCAGGAGACCATGGCGTCCTGAAGACCATGTCAGGTCCCCTAGAGCTAGTGTTACAGGTGGCTGTGAGCTGCCGGATGTGGGTGCTGGGGTGGGTGCTCTGAGCTGCTGAGCCATCTCTCCATCACATGGTGAGTCTAATTACCCTAGCATGGGAAAGGGGTTATCCACGGGAGCACCGCGGTGGGGGCAGGGGGGCTTGCTTTCTCTTTAACGATCATTTTACTTATGTATTTGTTTATTTAGTGTGTGGTGTGACTGTGTGTGTGTGTGTGTGTGAATGTATCAGTGCCTCTGCATGTATGAGTACTTGTGTGTGTGTTCGTTTGTGTATTTGTGTGTATACATGTATGTGTGCATGTGTGTGTGTATGTGCGTGTGTGTGTGCATGCACACACAGGTAAGGGGACAATTTGCAGGAATTGGTTCTCATCAGTCACCATGTAGGTCCCAGAGTTCAAACTCAGGGTGTGAGGATTTTCAGCAAGCACCTTTACTCACTGGCCCCTCTCACCTGCCCCTTGCTCCTACTGTAGCCAGTTCAGTTTGTGTGTGTGCTAGGCAGCCGTTTGGTGACTAACATGGTTCTAGATCCTGGGGGTAGAGGTGAGGGTGTGGGGAGGATGTGTGCGAACTGTTGTTTGCGTCTTCTGTAAGGTGTGTGACAGTCTTCCCATCACTGATGTTTCTGCTGTCTGTAGCTTGTACTTCAGGGGCTCAGTGGGTGAGAGCAGTGGTGTTCTCTCAGAGGCCCTGGGTTCCACACTCAGCATCGTGTTATAGAGGTGCGGGTCTGATGCTTTCTGGCCTCAGAAGGCAGTGTACACAAATGCACAGAGACACACCTATATACACGTAATGAAAGGTCAAACCTTTGAAGAGTCTTGTGCTCTACCAGTTGACCTGGCTGAGCAGCCCATGTTTTTTTTTGTTTTTGTTTTTTTTTTTTAATAACTTCAGTTTGTAGAAGTCCGTAAGGGCTTCACCTGACCTGGGTTCTCTGTGGCTCAGGAGTGTTGGCTAGTGTTCTTGGGTGAATCTATGACTTATGCTCAGGTTAAAGCCAAGTTGTTTTTCCTCTGTTTCAGCAACAGCGAACGGTGTACAGACTGACCCTTGTCAAGTGTTGGAACGTGGATGAGCTCCAGGCCTACGCTGAGCTGGTGTCCTTGGGGAACCCTGACTTCATCGAGGTCAAGGTGAGCCCTGCCACCTGGTGGTGGGCATGCTGCAGCTGAGGGTCGCTGGCCGGGGGCTGGGGTATTTGGATCATAGATTCACTGGGAAGCTTCCTCTGTCCTGGGCAGCACTGAAGGAGACTGAGCCGTTGGTCTTTGAAAGCTTCTGCTTTCCAGGGCTGGAGAGATGGCTCAGTGTATAAACCCAGTTGCTGCATTCTCAAAGAACCCAGCTCAAGGGGAGTTCTGAGGGCACTGCACACAGACACATACAATTTTTAAAAATTTTTTTTTTTGTTTTGTTTTAAGAATGAGAAATAAGTTAATTATGGGACTGGTCAGTTTATAAAAATCAACTGTTTCATTGATTTATTTTTACAGTACATCTCTGCCACATACAACATGGCCAATTTAGGCTGACATTTTAGATAGTGGGTGTTGGGATTAAAAAACGAAATCTTTAAGAGCTTTTCCTAAGAGCTGTTCTGTGTGGCTCCACTAAACTAAGAAAGCAGTGCTGATGTGAGGAATTAGATTCTGTGAGACGTTTCAAATCTCCTCCAGGTGTGGGTGATAGGTCTAATCAGTTCCACCTACCTGTCACCTTTGATGGACCAGTCTGGGGCCGGTCTGGTTTCAGCTCAACTGCTACCCACTGTTTCTGCCCTTATCCCTGATTATTTTACTGTAAGCTGTGTAAGTTAAAAGGTGAGTTCCCTGTTCCTTCCTTCCATCCTTCCTTCCATCCATCTATCCATCCATCCACTTTTTGTTTGTTTTTGAGGTAGGGTCTTGTTCTGTAGTCCAGGTTAGCCTAGAACTCACCGTTTAGCCAGGACTTGTGGGTTAGCTAGCCTGGCTTACACAGAGGCAAACAATGAGACTCTTCTTAAGTGAGGTAGAAAGCAACGACTGACCTCCAGCCCCACCTCCACACAAACAAAAAGATTGAAAAACCTTAGTATCCAGTGGTTATGTAGAGTGGTAGAGGCATGTGATCCCAGCGCTGAGGATCACAAGTTCAAACTCATCCTTGATTACTCCATGAGTTTGAGGTAAACCTGGGCTTCATGAGACATTGTCTCAAAAAAAAAAAAAAGGAAAAGGAAACACACACACATTTATAGTAAGGGTACTTTTATATATTCAAGTATAAGTTTATAGAGGCCACCGTTTCGGGGTTAAGCCAGGGCTGGAAGTTACAGTTTGGAACCCTGCCTGTGAGGTAGAGCATGGAGAGGCTCTCTGGGGGCCAAAGAGCATGGACAAAATGACTGACTGTAGGAGACAGTCCTCATCTTTAGAAGCCAGCTCCTGCCTTCTCAGTGTGGAGTTTTGAAACTGAATACCCCTGAAGTCTCAAGAGTTGTGGGAAGCAGCATTTCACTGCTTCAGAGCTAGATGCTCTGCAGGAGGGGCGGGAGGTGTGCACCCAGGGCCCCTGCTTAGCTCTTTGTCGGAGGGCGGGGTGGGGCGCGCAGGAGATGGGCGTCCAGGGCTCCTGCTATCTGAGCCATTACCATTTCATCTCTGGTCAGGCTTAAGACACTCTTTGATTTTAAAATTGCTCTTAAGTTCAAAAGGTTTCTCTTGGCAGAAGTTTTAATGACGCACAAATATAAACTGTCTGAAAATATATGTCCCTGTTCAGGGAAAGCTCGCCAACAGCAGAGATTAGTGGTGTTTTAATTTATGGTTTAGCTATTAAAAATGTCGCCACAAATTATATGGTAGTAAAATGTCTGTTTTTATTGTGCTTGGCTGGATCACAGGCACCCCTTTCACCCTCTTTTCTCCCCGCTCTCCCTCCCCCTTTCTCTTGCCCTTTCTTCTGAAGTCAGCTTTCCTAGGGGGAACATTTTACAGTTGTCAAATGTCATTATACATGTCTTTGTTTAAACAGTCTTCTGTCACATTATACTATGTGGCCAAAGATGAGCTCGCAACCCTGATCTTCCTGCTTCTGCTTCCTAAGTGCTGGGATGATAGCCATGTGCCACCACCGTACTAGTGGCAGTAATTTTCTGGTGGTAGTAGTAATTACTATTTTTTTTGGGAAAAAAAAGAAAGAAAGAAAGGAAGGAAGGAAGGAAGGAAGGAAGAAAGAAAGGGCTACTTGTTAAACAGTGGATTCCCCTGCTGGGGTTTTTGTGTATGGCTCCTGTTCACATGATTTGGAAGCAGAGAAAGCTGTGTCACCGCTCAGGGTCCCTCTCAGACAGCTTCCCACTTCATCCTTTTATCCCGGCAGGATTGCTGGCACCACGCGTACCAGCCCTCACTGAAGCCCTCAAGGGGAAAGCTGATGTCGAGGATGGGAGGCGTGGAGATGGTATTGAAGTCCATAGAACTACAGTGAGCTGCCTTGAGAGAGCTGATGTTTAAAATTCTTAGAGAAACGTGTGGTCTAGCCAGAGTGACAATCCGCATGCATCGGAGGGCAGGATGGCCTTCAGGAGTCGCCTCTCTCCCTCCTTCCTGTCTGTGGACCCCAGGATCCAAGTCAGGCCGTCAGGCTTGGTGGCAATTGAACACCTTTCCGCACTGAGCCTTGCCACCAGCCTCCTACACCAGATTTTCCTTACCTGTTCTCCTGTTGATGGACACCTCAGCAGATTCCACCTGCTGGCAGTTGAACAGTTAGGCAGTAGGCATGGGCATGTGGCTATCTCTGGAGACCGGCATTCTCCCTGGGATTCTACAAGGAACAGGCAGGCCATGAGCGTGCCCACCCCTCCAGATGAACAGGTCAGTTAGAGCATCACACCACTGAGCTCTCTCTGCAGCTCTTCTCTCCTTAGTTTGAAGCAGAGTTTTGCTAAGTTGCCCAGGCTGGCCTTGAACTCCTTCTGTAGCCCAGATTTACCTAGTCCTCTGCCTCAGCTGCCCCTGGGCTGGGGTTACAGGAATGCACCATTGTGTCCTGTCTCTTGAAACTCAGAGACTGAAACAGTACTGAGGACTGTTATGGTAGTAAAATGGCTTGGTGGTAGAGTGCTTGCCTGGGATCTACGAGGCCCTGGGTTCTATCCCCAGCATTTCAAGCAAGCAAACAGCAACCAACTAAACATAAGTTAGTGAACCAGAAAAGGTTAACTTTCTTATTGAGTAGGATTAAGAGAGTTAATGTCTGAAAAGGTGACACTTTTGCTGTGGTGGTGGCTTCCTGCCTGTCATCCTAGTGCCTGGGAGGCTAAGGCAGAATTTGAGGCCAGACTGGGCTATAAGGTGACACTCAGTGTAAAACACAAAGACAAAATGAAGACAAAAACAGTGGAGGGCGCTGGAGAGTTGGCTCAGGGGTTGAGCGTGCATACCGTTCTTGCAGAGGGTCCAGTCCAGTTCCCAGCACCAGCATCTGGCAGCTCACTTTAAATTCCAGCTCCAGGCAGTCTGACATGTTCTTTTGGCATCTGTAGGCACTACACTCAGGTACACATAGCCACAGTTACATAATGAACAATAAAGTCTTGGAGAGAAAACAAGTGGAGGCTAAGGAGACATGAAGAAGGGGGAGGTGAGGGAGAGGGGTCTCTAAAACTCCTTTGTTGAGAAACAGTATGACAGCCAAGATAACCCCTATCTCCCTCCACCCCACCCCACCCCCGACACCCAGAAGTGAAACCAGAAGTGAGGTGTCATTGATATGTCAGGTCTGTAAAGAGCCCTCAGGGTCTGAGGACAAGAGGTCCTGTGTATATCATAGTCCATTGGTTCAGGAGGGACCCCAGCCTAAAGGACAGAAGACAGAGCCTTTCAGTACAGGGCAGTGCATTGGAGGAACATCTGCCCCGGGCTGAGTCAAACCCTGAGAAGCCTGGAGTCATAGCCACCCTTACTCAGCAAAAAGGGAAAGTCTTCCTGTGAGCCTCGGGGCAGTTCGGTTCAAAGTTAATAGTACGTCAGGCTCACGTGCACAACCCCACAGTGTGCATGCCCTGCACACCCAGTGCTGGTCCTGCCTGACAGCTGAGTTGCAGGTGAGCTGAATGATTTGTAGGATCCTAAGGTAGAGGCAAGCTGGGTTTGAGAGAGCTCACTGTAACCCCAGAACCTGGGAGACACAGGCGGGAGATCAGCTCAGGGTCATCCTCGGCTACCATGGTTGTAGGCTAGCCTAGACCACATGTCTCAAAACAGACAAAACAAAAGCAAGGTCCAGTGACAACAGATAAAGGTACTTGCCACCAAGCCCTACAACCTGCGCTGTCCCTGGCTGGATGGAGAGAGCCAGTGCCAGCAAGTTGACCTCTGACCTCCATGTATGCACACACACTATATAAATGCATAAATGCCACGTGAAGAGTAGAAACGTGGATGTTTTTAGATGAGTTTCAAACATGGTCCCTAGTCACATCTTTTTAGCATTTTCTCTTGTTTTACTGACTGAACCAGATTAAGAAAGTTGTCTTTCTTCCTTTTCCTACCTGCTTTGTCTTTTCATTTTATTTATGAGGCTGCTCAGGCCATGGATCACAGGTTTGGTTTAAAATCTAAAACTTTTCTTCTTTTTTTTTTCCCAAGTGTGTGTGTGTGTGTGTGTGTGTGTGTGTGTGTGTGTGTGTGTGTTCCCCATCCTAACCTTGGGTACACGCAGAGGTCAGCCTGTGAGGCATTAGTCGGTTTCCTCTTCCACCATGTGGGTTCCGGGGATCCCACCAGGTGGCCAGACTTGGCAGCAAGCCCCCGTACTTGCCTCACTGTCTTGCTCATATTTTGAATCATGTATTGATATATATACGACATGTACCGGTGTAGCCTTTCAAACTGAATTATCTGTCCTAAAACTAGAATGACAGTGGCTTTTATTCTCCGAGGCAGGTGTCTGGCTGGGCAGCCCAGGCAGGCCTGGAACCTCTCTCTCCTGCCTCAGCCTGCCAAGCGCTGGGCTTGTAAGTGCACACCACCCAGCTGCCTTAAATTAATAATTGTTCAAGAGGTTCGTTTGAGAATTCAATGGGATAATCTGTGCCTGGATCCAGTAAATGTTTAGACTGCCTTCCATTAGGTACTTTATAGAAAATAAATCAGTAGATGCTATCTCTTTATTATTGATTTCCTCTTTTCTTTCATTGCCAGTCTGGTAAAAATTTTTTTTCTTTTATATTCCCTGTAAATTAGCATGCATTTTAGCCTCATTAGGTTTGAATGGGGCTTCGTTTGTGAGCCCGGGACTCTCGTTATCTGCCTGCTTGTTGGTAAAAACGTGCTTCAGGTTACAGACATCTGCTGCATTGAAAACTTGAAGCACGGAGACACATTTGTAAGAAGTCCTGTGTCTGTGTTCCCTTCGGAGCCCAGGAAGTGCCTGGTAGCTTGCTTGAGGTCAGGTGACTTTGTTTTAAGTCACCCTCTGTTGGCACACTGTTGACAGGGCTCCACCATGGCTGAGCACACACAGCAGAGCTCCCCTCTCTGCCCACGTGCAGGGCAAGGGTCAGGGTCAGGAGGCTGCCAGTTACTCAAGCCTCTGGTGTTTCTCTATCAGTCTTCATGTTGCTGCGTCCACATACTCCATAAGGGGCCACTTCCAGGAGGGCGGGGACTTTTTGACAGATGTGCTATGCATGGTCTGAGGAGATTCTGTAGTCTGTCATCAAGGGGAAGACATGATAGTGGGGCTGGGGGCTGCCCGTTTACATCTAGTGGATTAGTAAGCAGAAACATAAATACTGACATACTAATGGCTTTCTCCTTTCCTCCTATTTTATTTAGCCTTAATATAACTTTTATTTATTTAATTTGAGAAAGGATCTTACTGTGTAGCTCTGTCTGGCCTGGAATGTACTCTGTAGACAAGGCTAGCTCTAAACTCACAGAGCTTGCCTCTGCCTTCAGAGTGCTCGATTTAAAGCTGTGTGCTACCATACTCAGCCTTTTTTAAAATTTAAAAAAAGTTACATCGAGAGTGAGTGTGTGTGTGTGTGTATGTTTGTCTGTGCACGAGTGTGAGCGTGTGATTCCTGTGGAAATGTCCCGTTCTAAAGGCAGTGGGAGCTAGGAGAGAGCTAGGAGAACGGAGCCTAAAAACGAGGCAAGTTAAAGTTGTATTCAGCCAGCTTTATTCTGAACATCAGACAGTTTATACTCTACGGTTAAGAGAGGTCACATGAGTAAAGCTCTCATGACTTCAAGCTGTACAAAATCAGAAGTTCAAGCAACAATGGCAGAAACATGTTTTCCCACACATGCACATGAACAAAGAACAGTAGCCAGCCGTAATGAATAATCTGTGTAAACTCACTCCTGTCCGCACCTGGCTTGGGTGTGAAAGCATGTTTTAGAACAATTCTGTGTTTTTAAAGAAACTGAGGTCACAAGACTCTGGTCTTGTTTCTTTTCATTTTCTCACAAGCACTCAGAATTCCCCTCATGTGACTTCATCCTTGGACTGAGCTGCGACAGTATTAAGGACGAGTTTTGGGAGTCAGTTTTCTCTGACTACATGGGACTTGGGGGTCAAACTTGGGTCCTCAGGCATGGTGACAAAGCACTTTGACCTGCTGAGCTGTCTTGGTGCCTTCCTTTTTCCCTTTTAGTTTGGGTCTTCAGCCCGTGGGATGGTCAGGGCCTGGCTTGGAGATAGTTATAAATCCAGCCAAGCTTAAATAATGCTTAGGTCCTGCTTAACAGTTCATGGTCCTTAGAGAATAGACATTCAGAGCGAGGCTGATGCCCCTCTGGTGCAGCACTTGCCTACCACACGTGAAGTGCTGGCTATCCCCAGCACTGCAGAAGCCAGAATTGGTGGTGCATGCATGAGGGAGAGGCTGGAGGGTTGAGAGTTTAAGGTCATCCTTGGCTACATAGTGAAATGGAGGCCAGCCTGGGCTACACAAGACAGACAGAAGGTTTTAATGAACTTCTGCATATAGTCCGTCTTCCCAATGAGTCCCCTTTAGCATCTCATGATTTGTTATTGCTGAATAATAAAATATTAAAATATCTCCCTCAATCATAGTTATGAATATAAGATCTTGTCTGAGACCTCTGTGCTTCAGGGGAACTTTTAAATATTAACAAGGAGTTCCTTTGAGATGGCTTTTCCACAGTTGCATAGCTAAGCTATCAGAGGCAGCATTGCAATCTGATGACCTGTCATAAGCCCCTCCCTTCCTCCTCCTTTTTTTTTTAATTTGGGTTAGTAATTAGCATAGTTTTCCAACTTTGGTGTTTTGAACTGTATTACTGCTTGCCTGTAAAAACCCACTGAAGCTCGGCCTAATGAAGTCTTCCAATCCCTGAGCAAACAGGCCATTTCCCCATCTATTCTAAGGAAGTGGGTAGTTAACATGCAGAGAAGGGTATCTGGGTGCAGTGTCCGTAGTACTGCGAACAGCCATCTGTGGCAGCGGCCATCTGCAGTGAGCGGCCATCTGCAGTGAGCGGTCATCTGCATTGAGGGTTTGCAGAGCTCATCTGAGTCTCAGGCCAAGTCCCAGCTCTGCCATCTGTAGGGCGGGCCGCCTAAGGCTCGCTTGTAGGATCCGCTTTTCTTTTTAATAGGATGAAATTCTGCCTCTTACACAGCATGCAGTGTCTGTATGCACACACACAGAGTCTCTGTCGTGTTTCTGTATGTCTGTGGTGCCTCTGTATGTGTGGTGTGTGTGGTGTCTCTGTGGTGCATGTTTCCTCTCCCACCTCTGTGTCTGCGTGCACATACATGTGCAGTGTCACTGTAGTGTCTATATGTGTGTTGTCTGTGTGTATAGTATCTGTATTGTCTATAAGGTGTATTTGGAGTGTCTCTCTGTGTAGTGCGTATTTTTTTCTCGGTATGTATGTATGTATGTATGTATATGTGTGGCATTTGTCTGTCTGAATCTCTGTATGTGTATGCAGCATATGTGTCCGTATCAGGGAGGGGCTTGTAAGCAGTGAGCTTGCCCTTGGGTTTCGGTTGGCGCCAGTGTCTGGAATATTGAAGGCAGCTGCTGAGGAAGTCCAGTGCTGAGCTTGTACGGTGGCTGTGGCTGTTATCCCAGCTCGAAGGAGCTGGAGTCAGAGCGTCAGGAGCTCAGGCTTATCAGGATACAGATTGAATTTGAGGCTAGCCTGGGATACACGAAACATCTCAGAGACAAAGCAACAAGGGTTGATGTGGAGAGGTTTGAAGAAAAACCTTTTTGAGAAAGAATCATTTCCCACTGCAGTTTACTCAGTAGAGGGCTGAGGAGATTTGGGGGATATGTCTGGGTTCCCAGGTAGGTACCAAAAATTAGAAGCCAACTTACTGTACTACAGCTATTTTTAATAGGAATTTCCATGTTTGTAAAATAATTAAGGCTTGTGTGTAAATCCACATATGCTTCTCCTTTGGCATGATAGTCTATACATTTATTTTTAATTCTTTTATTTTTGACATTTGTGAATATAAATACATCATTTCCCCTTCCCTCTCTACAAGCTCTCCCATATGCCCTTCCTTGCCCATTTTCAAATTCAAGGTCTTTTTTCTCATTAATTGTTGTTCCATGAATATAAAATACATACACATATATGCCTAAATATGACCTGCTCAGTGTGTATAATATGTAGTACTTTATCAATTCACACTCAGTGGGGCTGGAGAGATGGCTCAGCAGAAAGAGCCACATAGTCATCCTCTGTCAGAAAAAAAGAATGATTATCTCGTTATAGAATTTCGATGAGATCTGTATTGGTTACTCTTCTCATAGCTGTGAGAAAATGCCCACAAAGGCAATTTAAGGGAGGAACGGCTCACATCATGGTGGGGCAGGCATGGTGGCAGGAGTGTGAGGCGGCTGCATCCACCGTGAGGGAGCAGAGAGACAGACGGATGCCGGTGTGCCTGTTTTATTCAGTCCAGGACCCCAGCCTGTTGATGGCTCGCTCACATTCAGTATGGGTCCCACCTCACTTAACCCTTTCTGGAGACATTCTCACAGATGTGCCCAGCGGTTTGTCTCCTAGGTGATCTCAAATCAAGTCGATAATGAAATGTGACTACCACAAGCTGTCACCCAGAGACAGGTCTGTAACTAACAGTCCCTGATGCTGTCCTTCCCACAGGGCGTGACCTACTGCGGTGAGAGTGCAGCCAGCAGCCTCACCATGGCCAACGTCCCTTGGCATGAGGAAGTGGTCCGGTTTGTCTGTGAGCTGGTGGATCTGCTTCCCGACTATGAAGTTGCGTGTGAACATGAACACTCCAACTGCCTCCTGATTGCACACAAGAAGGTAAGATGTGTGCTGCACCCCCTTCTCTTTCCCCTTTCTTCTCTTTCTTCTTTGTGCCCCTCACTTGACCCCAGGGGATGTCTGCTTGTCCACTGTCTTTCCTAATACAAGCGTTAAGAAAGCCCTGAACAAAACAGCACCATTCCAATGTTTGAGTTTAAAGATTTTATTTAGAGATTCTTGTTTAAACAATTACTTTTATTTTTAATCATACGTGTGTGTATTCCAGTGTGCATGGTATGTCCATGTGAGTGCAATACCCTCGGAGGTCTGAAGAGGGTGTCATATCTCCTAGAGTGGGGTTACAGGTGGCTCTCCATCTGGGCTCACAACTGGATGAATCACCTTAAACTAGCAAGCTTAGAGACGTCAAACACAAAATAATCTGGGGCCAGAGAGATGGCTCAGTTTGTAAGGCACTTGCCACCAGGCTGGACCACCTGACTCTGGGGACCCACAGGGCGGATGGAGAGAACTGACCCCCTGCAAGCTATTCTGTGACCTCCACACATGTGCACCCTCTTCTCCCAGATGAATAAGTATGATAAAGATTTTTAAAATACTACAACATTCATTAAGATGAAAGTAATACACTCCTAGCCCAGGTGTCAGGTTTGAGTTCAGAGCGGAACCCATGGCTGATGTGTCATCGAGTGTTGATTTCTTTGGATTGTTTATAATAATAGACCCGTGCTGTCAGTCATTTGGTTTATGGGATTTTCTCTGTGTGAAAGGTGAGAAAATAGCCAGATGAGGTTGTTTGATTATTTTTCTGTGGCAGGTTCTCAGGCCTGTGCATCTGGCCTCTGTGGCTGGCCCGTCTAGAGCAGCCCGGCTGTTTAATCAGGCCCATACCTCACCACACTGTGTCATAAGACCATCCGTGACCTTTCAAGTGTGTTCGTAATTCTGCACAGATTTACCTCCCCCCTTCCTGTGGGGTGTAAGGAGTCCCTGAAGTCACATGACCCCATGTCTCAGGACACTTCCCCTCACGTCTTGAGATCTGAGGCTTCGTTTCCCTGTTGACACAGCTGTCTTCCAGTACAGTTTGTGTCAGACGTGCTAAATGCTGCCCTTTTAGCTTCTGATTTTTTCATAAAGCAGTTGGACTTTTGTGAGCTGCCTTCATCTCAGCTTGTCTTGAGGCATGTAGAAACTCAGTCTGATCCTTGAGACCCAGTGCCTCAGCGTTATTTTCAGAGTTACCCATACTCTGGATGGAATTCTGTGTTCCTCATACCCAAAAGTAATTTGTGTTGGGTTTCTAATTCCCTAGTGTGACTGTGTGTGATGGGGCTTCTAAGGGTTGGATGCAGGCATGTGAACAGGGCCCTGATCTGATCGGATCTGCATCCTCACAGGAGACACTGAACAGCCTGTGCTCAGGGAGACAGCCGTGTTGAGCTACTGAGAGGGCATTCTCTGCCAGCTAGGAAGATAGCGTGCCCCAGAGACCAGACTTGCAGGGACCTGACTGTGGGCTTTGGCCTTCAAAACCTCTCTGTCCCTGAGCTGCCTAGACTGTGGTGCCTTGTCATGGTGACCTGAGCCTACTGTGTGTCCATGTCGCCTGCAGCAGCTCAGTCCTCCAGTTTTGTCCTCAGAGACTGGGAATCAGAACTGTCATTGGTGACTTCAGCTTCGAACAGTCCTGTCTGTACAAGTGCTTTTCTCCATTCTCGATTGCCTAAGTTTGCAGACTGCCTCTGGGACCTGCAGATGAGATGCATTGCATATGACTTGTGGTGTGTGTGTGTGTGTGTGTGTGTGTATGCACACACCCTGACTCAACTCTGAATTTTTTTTTTTAATGTAGGCTGGACTAAAAAATTAGTTTTATGGTTCTAATCCAGTGGTTCTCAACCTTCTTACCGCTATGACCTTTAACACAGTTCCTCGTGCTGTGGTAAACTTACTTTTGTTGCTACTTCATAACTGTAGTTTTGCTACTGTTATGAATTGTAATGTAAATATCTGATGTACAGGATATCTAATTTGTAACCCCTGTGAAAGGGTTGTTCGACTCCCAGAGGGGTTGTGACCCACAGGTTGAGAACTGCTGTCTAAGTAGATCCTTTTGTCTTTCTGAGACTATCCATGACAAGGAATTCTTTATTTCTTATTTTTTGTTTGCTTTTTTTTTTTTAAAGAAGTTTTACTCTTAATGATGTGTACATATGTGTGGGTACATGCATGTGAGTGCAGGCACCAGTGGAGACCAGAGGCCTTGGGTCCCTTGAAGCTGGAGTCACAAGGGGTTGTGACGTCCTCCACGTGGGTGCTGGGAACCAAACTTGGGCCCTCTGCAAGAGCAGCAAGTGCTTTTACCTACTGAGCCATCGCTCCAGCTGCACCCCTCCCTCCCGTTTTTGAAGATGGGGGTTTCACGTTGGCCAGGCAGGCCTCGAATTAGAATTCACTGTGTAGCTGAGGATGACTTTGAACTCGAACTCTTCCTGCCTCTACCTCCTGAGTGCTGAGGTTCCACGTGTGTGTGCACCATCGTGCCTGGCTAGAAGGAGCTACCTGCCTGCCGCGGCCTGGAGAGCCCTGTGTATAGTGCGTCTGGGAAGGGCGTGAGGATGAGCTTTCAGTCTCTGCCTATAAGATTGCAGGAAGCCCTGGAGCAGCATCCCAAAGAATGGACCTCAGAGAGGGAGGCCTCCTACTTCATCCACAAACTAAGCTTTTACATACATTTGGCCGTATCTCCTAGAAAGCTCTTAACTGACATAAACCATGAGCCATTTAAATTCAGCAAGTATTATCCTAATTCCAGGAAACTATGTTTTTCATTTTTAATACTTCTTCCAAACTGTAACTGGAAATGGTTGTTTCAGTTGGTCCATAGAATTAGACTAAGATTTATTTGAAAAAAAATTTTTTGGTGTGTATGTGTGCACATGTGCATGTGACTGCGAGCATGAAAGTAAGTACCTCAGAGATCAGAGGGGGGTGTTAGATTCCCCAGAGCTAGAATTATAGGTGGTTGTGAGCCATCCACCATGGATGCTGGGACCCGAACTTGTGCCTTCTGCATGAGCTGTGAGTGGTCTTAATCATTTAGCTGCGTCTCTAGCCCTGCTTTTATTTTGAGATAGGCTCTCAGTCTGTAGCCCAGGCTGCCCTTGAACTCTTGTTCTTCCTGCCTCAGTCTTCCTAGTGCTGGGACAGAAACACTGTTCACAAGTCACCTGTCAACATTAGCTTTGTACAAATGAGTGCCAGCTAGAAGCTTTGAATGCAGTGCCCTCACCACAAAGTGAGTTCCCCCGATGCTGCCACCTCCTCCCCCTCCCCCTCCCCTCTCCCTTCCCCTTCCCCTCCCCTCCCCCTTCCCCTCCTCCCCTCCACCTCTTCCTCCTCCTCCGTGGCTTCTCTGTTCTCTCCATCCCAGCCATTATTCCACAGTGACTTTTGAGAAGCAATTTACTTAAGAGAGTACAAATTGGATTATTCCCCATTATTGAATTGAAATTCTTAACGAGGCTTTCTGCTAATGAGATATTGTATGCACGTTAGGATGCAAAGGCTAGCTCGAGTCATTTAGCAGCTCAGAGTTAGAAGCCATTGATTAAGGCTTCAGTCAAACAAAGTTTAGCAATAGGAAGCCCTCCACACGTCCATACTTCTAGCAGAGCCGAAAGAGCACGCACCAGATAGAAAGCAACCACGGCAGGAAGAGGCGGAGTCAGCTTGACCAGGTGTGTCTGTGGGCATCGGCAGTCACCTCGCTCCAGGGAAACTCAGCTGCCAACTTTAGGGAGTAACCTCCTTCCCTTTTCTAGAAATGTAGCCCAGGTTGCCTCTGATTCCTTCCCATTGATATAAAAGTTCTCTTTCTTTTTTTTTTTTTTAAGGGCTTTAATTTTTTTTCTTTAATTTTTTGAGGTTATAATGTAATTAACATCCTCCTTCTTCTTTTTCGCTCCATATACCTCTACTTGCAGTCTTTCAGATTCATGGCCTCTTTTTTCATTAATTGTTACAGGCCTATACATGTATGATACGAATGTATGTATTCCTAAATAGAACCTCAGCCTCCCAGGGTCTGAGACTCCAGGCCTGGGCCACTCTGCCTAGTTCAGGAAGTCAGGAAACATTCCTTGCTAACAGACATGCCTGCCGTGCATGGTTTGGAGCAGTCTTCAGGGCTACAAGCATACTGAAAACACGTGAAAGTTTAACAGGATAGGAAAACCGGGTTTATTAGCAATTTAAAATTTTCTTTTTCTTTTTTTTGTGTAAGGGTCACATGTAGCTCAGGCTGGCTTTGAACTTACTGTATAATCTAGGCTGACCCTGGACTTGTGATCATCTTGATTCTAGTTCATGAATGCTGGGATCACTGGTGTGCACCACCGTGTCCAGTTTGTGCAATGAACAGAACCCATGTTTGGAGAGGCCTCTACCAGCAGATCCACATTCTTGACCCTCTCACTAGGGGCTTTTTGACATTCATTTGATCTATTAAAAAAAAACCTATTTACTTATATTTATGTATGCTGGTTGGTGGCCTTGTCCATGTTGGTCAGAAGAGGGCCTTGAATATCCTGGAGCTAGAATTATAGCCCTTCAGCTATGTGGAGTTACAGGCATATAGGCAATTGTGGCTGACCAGCATGGGTGCTGGGAAGGAACTCTGGCCTTCTGGGAGAGCAATGCATGCTCTTGACTGCCGAGCCATTTCTCCAGTCCCAAACTAATGCTGTGTGTTTAAGTCATGGCTTCTATTGCTGTGATGAAACACCACAACCAAAAGTAACTCGGGGAGGGAAGGGTTTATTTCAGCGTATGCTTGTAGTCGGTCTGTCACTGAAGGAAGTCAGGGCAAGGTCTCAAGGCAAGAACCTGGAGGCAGGAGCTTATGCAGAGGCCATGGAGGGGTGCTGCTTACTGGCCTGCTCCTCCTGGCTTGCTCAGCTTGCTCTCTTACACCATCCAGACCACCAGCCCAGGGATGGCACTACCCACAGTGAGCTGGGCCCTGCCCTTCCACATCAGTCATCAATTAAGTAAATGTACCACAGGCCGGTCTGGTGGTGGCATTTTCTCAAATGAGTTTTTCTCTTCTAAAAAGACTCTAGATTGTGCCAAGTTGCCATAAAACTAGCCAGCGCAGCTGGTATGATCCAGATGGAACTGGAACTTTATTTCTTCTACACAGTTTAACTTCTGACCTGACAACTTTTCTTTGCAGTTTAAGATCGGTGGAGAGTGGTGGACATGGATCGATTACAGCCGCTTCCAAGAGCTCGTCCTGCAGTATGAAGAGAGTGGAGGCTCCAAGACGTTCAGCTCGAGGGATTACATGGCCAGAACCCCACAGTGGGCGCTGTTTGGGGCCAGGGAAAGAGGCTTTGATCCCAAGGACACAAGATACCAGAGGAAGAACAAAACGAAGGACATTTCCGGATGTTGAGCTTATCTGAGTCAAGGATCTCCAAAGACAAAAGCTGCCTGGCCCCAGCAGGTCCTCAGTTGCCATCACTGTACGGGACAGAGTTTCACGGCTGCATTCCACGGTCTGACACCAGCAGGCAGCCGTGCTGCCCACACAGCACCCACACATGGGGCTGGGGACTTGGCTCGATGCTTCTTACCAGAACTCAGGCCGTTTAATAAGTCGATTTCTGAGACAGTGAAGGCGGTGGTCACCTCTGGATTTTTAATAGTTTTGGATTTTATTTTAGTAATTTTCCTAAGTGCTATCCCTGAGTGTTGCACAGGGAATAAACATCTCTGCCTCTTCCTCCAGAGCTTCCTCTCTTTTCTTTAGATCTGCTCTACTTAAGTAGTTCAGGCTGACATCCACTCATGGCAATGCTCCTGCCTCAGCCTGCTGAGAGCTGAGATTATAGGCCAGCACCACCAGGCAGGCTCTCTGAGCTACTGGCTCTTTGTAGAGTGATCACTTAATATTTTTAGCTTTGAGTGCCCTGGGCTAAACCTTTCTACCCCTTCCAAGGTAAGAACTCTCCTTAGAGTCATACCTGAAAATGAATGTTCCATTTTCAAAGGTGTGTGTGTGTGTGTGTGTGTGTGTACATGCATGCAACTGAGTGCCATGTCCATGGAGTCCAGAATAGGGTATCAGATCCTCTAGAGCTGGGTGGTTTTGAGCTGGCCAACATGGGTACTGGGAACTAAACTCAGGTTCTGAGGAAGAGCAGTAGCCCTCTTTACTGCTAAGCCATCTCACCAGCCCCAAATGTTTTATTTATTTTTCCAAATATTTTAAGGTATTATGTCAATCACTTTAAACTTTTGTATATTTAAAACTTTTGTGGGAATGTCCCAGCCCCTTCCAGAAGACATGTTACTATCCAGTGTGTTATTGGTCCAGCAAACATGCATGGAATAATGGAATAGGGTTTCTTCTTGTCTTTCTTTCTGTGTGGGCTTGGGACACACACACACACAGACACACACACACAGACACACACACACACAGACACACACACACAGACACACACACACACAGACACACACACACCCCTACCCCTGTCTCCTCTCCCTGTCTCTCTGTCTCCACTTCTGCTCTCATTGATGTACACAGTCTGACCTTTAAGGCTAAAGTTTTCTGTTTTGCTCTTTTTTTTTCCCCCTTTCGTTTCTTGAGACAGGGTCTCCTTTATCCCAGGCTAGCCCCAAATTCACTTTGTAGCTGAGGATGGCTTTGAACATCTGATTTGCTTGCCACTGACTCTTGATTGCTGGAATTGCAAGTGTACATCACTGTGCCTGGCTTCCAAGTATTCTTTTTTGTTGTTGTTTTTTAGTCAGAAACATCTCAGTCAATTTTATTTTCTTAAGTAATTGAAATTATTTTAAAATTCTTTTATTTAAAATGTAATAATCTTTCCTAAAGATCCAGGGCACGGTTACTCTTTTATGTCCTCAGATTAAAGATACTTCTTTTCTTTTGAGTTTTATGTTCTGTCAGACGCCCTTCCTCAGGAGCTCCAGGGCTAGCTGGCCTGGGTTTGTGAGTGACAAATGAGAGAGCCGGTCTCGAGATGTACAGTGAGGACCAAAGCCACAGTTTGCCTCTGACCTCACTCTTGCTCTGTGTCACAAGCACACCTTTAGGCACATACAGACGCAGACACTTGTACACACTCAACAACGATTTAAAAAAAAATAGGGGTGTATTGGAAAGATAGCTCAGTAGTTCTGAGTGTTTACTGCTCTTGCAGAAGACCCGGGTTCAGTTTCTAGAACCTGTGTCAGCTAACTCGTAACCACCTCTAACTCTAGCTCTGGAGACATGACACCATCTTCTGGCCCCTGGAGGCTCTGCATGCGTGTGGTGAATATAAACTCAGGTAGACACACATGTACATAAATAAATCTCTTTAAAAATTAGGGGCACACAAAGATACTTCAGCTGCTTAAGGGAACTTGTCCCCAAGCTTGATGACCTGAGTCTGATCATGGCAGAGGAAGAAGACTGACTCCTACAAGCTGTCCTCTGAGCCAGTCTTCTTGTGAAATTCTCGGTCACACAACCACACACGTGCGCAAACATATAACATGATAAATATTTTACAGAATTCAAAAACCTAAATTACTAAATGAAGGAAATAAGTGGATCACATACTCAGAAGCAGATGTAACTGACCGTGCTGGGGGCTTGCATTTAGGTTGCTGTGGGTGATGTGTCCCACCACAGGACAGGTTACATGCATTCTTATAGTCACAGAATAAAAGTGACGCCATACATCAGTGCATTCAAGGCTATGCTGGAAGGGGCAGCAGGTTAGACTGACACCAGAGTGGGCGTGTCTTCTCAGATTTCACACACTGTGCTCTATGTTAGGTTTGGGAGAAGGCAGGCATGCCCTAACCTGGATATATTTTGAGGTTTTCTATCAGGGGAGGGTTAGGTAAGAAACAGAAGTTAAGGTCATTGGCTATTCTGGGGCTGGAGAGAGCACAAGAGGATTGTCAATGTGTACCCATCCACACTTCCTGCGTGCTTTTCAGCCAAGGTCAAGCTGTCTGCAGGATCTCAGGCATTTATGTGCTAGCCTCAGACAGCATCAGTTCATTTGGTTGGTTGTGTGTGTTTGTGTGTGTGATTTTTGTATATGCATGTGGGTATGCAGATGCACTCAACCGTGCACAGGCACAGAGTCCAGAAGAGGACCACTCTGTTATTTTTAACTTTACTCCCTTGAGATTGTCCCTTACTGAACCTAGAGTAAGGCTGGTGTCCAGCAAGCCCAAGTTGATTCCCTTATCTCTACTCCCATCCCCAGCATGGGTGGGGGAGGGGAAGGATTACAGGCACATGTGTCTTCTCTCAGCTTTCTACCTGGCTTCTGGGCATTCAAACTTGCGTCCCCATGCCACATAACAAGTGCTCTTACCACTGAGCCACCTCCTAGGATGTCCCTCAGTCTGTGGCAGTCTTCTTGCCTCTGCCTCCTGATGGCTGGGATTACTGGTAGGAGCTACCATATTCTACATTCACTCAAGCTTTTAAACGTGTGTGTGTGTGTGTGTGTGTGTATGCAGGCCTTGCCTTGAAAGCATACGACCTGAGTTCAATTTCCAACACCCACATAAAAAGCTGGGCATGGTTGTGCACCCACGCTTTGGCCTGTGCAGCCCGATGCTATGGGAGGCTGATATCAGAGGACAGCCGGAGCTTGACGGCTGCCAGCCTCGTCATATTGATTACTTTTCTACTATTCTGATAAAACAATGGTGACCAAGGCGACTTAGAGAAGGAAGGTCTTACTTGGCCTTATGCTCATGGTGGCGAAGCATGGCCTCACCAGGCATGGCAGCTGGAGAGCCCCATAGAGAGTGAACTGGAGGTGGCCCAAGTGTTTTCATCTCAAAGTGTGACCTCAGCAACGTATTTCCTCCAGCAAGGCCACCACCTAGACCTCCTCAGACCGCACAAAGCATAGACATAGAAATACATGCAGGCAAAGCACCCGTAAACGTAAAACAATAAAGATGAAACAAACACCTTCCCAAACAGCTATAGCAACTGGGAACAAGCATTGAAATGAAGAGAGAAGTGGTGTCTCAAGGGGATACAGTGGGGAGTGATAGAGGACACCCAGAATCTTCCTTTGACCTCTGCACCCACAAATGTGGGTGCTTCACACATGCACACTCAAAGCAGAGAGGAAAGAGAGAGAGAGAGAGAGAGAGAGAGAGAGAGAGAGAGAGAGAGAGAGAGAAGAAGAAGAAGAAGAAGAAGAAGGAAGAGGAAGAGGAGGAGGACAGGGAGGGGGAGGAGGAGGAAGAGGAGGAGGAGGAGGACTCCAGTCAAGTCTAAAGATTAATGGTTGATTCCGGGAGGTGGAGGCCAGGCCTGGGCCCTAGGAACAATTATGCAGAAGAACAACTTGATCTGATTTGCATTTTAATAAAATCACTGGAGCTGCAGGCTTTAAAAATGGCTTGGCGAGGCCAAGAGGGAAAGCCATGAGTTGGTAAGTATTTTCATAGGCAAGTCTAGAAGTAATGGCTGTCTGGGGTGTGCCCGCGTCGTTGTGTGTGTGTGTGTGTGTGTATGTGTGGTGACATTTGCACAAGTGGGTTGTAAAGCTGTGGATGGATTCCAACGAGATCTATGACGTAATGCTTAATGGATGGAGCTGCAGACTGGGGGGATGGGCGGAGAGTTCAAAGGTCATTGTTGGCCCACCATGTCCTGATCTGGGGATACGATAGACCGTGGTAGCACTTAGAGGGCTCTCAAGGGTGAAGGTCAAGAGGAGCCTCAGAGAGGTCTGGAGAGAGCCTCCGGGGAGACAGGAATGTATCAATCACGGTGGGAGTTACCATCCAAACTTAGGGAAGGAACTCAGCAGTTAAGAGCCCAAACTACTCTTGGAAAAGACCCACTTCTGCTAGCTCACAGTCACCTGTAACTCCAGCTCTAGAGAACTCGGAGCCCTCTTCTCAACTCTACGGGCAGCTGCACTCAGACGCACAGACACACAGAGTAAATAAATATTAAAACGCAAAAGAGGAAGATTGACATCCCCCAAGCAAAGAGTGTAACGTGAGAGCTGAGATACCAGGCCCCGAGGTGGAGCAGCGTAGGAAATGGGGTTACCAGGAAATGAGGGCAGACAGACATACCCTATAGCCACTGAAGCTCAGCAAGGAGGGCGTCCATCTATGTGAAGTTAAGTACCACAAGGACACTTGTGTGTGAGCATGTGGAGACTAGGGGATAACCTCAGGTGCTGTTCCTCAAGTGCTGACTCTACCACTGAGCCACACCCCCAGCCCATCACGGACTGGGGACTCTAGGCAGGGGCTCTACCACTGAGCCACGCCCCCAGCCCCTCACTGGGGGATTCTAGGCAGGGGCTCTACCACTGAGCCACGCCCCCAGCCCCTCACTGGGGGATTCTAGGCAAGTGTTCTCTCATCGTCCAGCTCTCTTTCCCAGTTCTCCTGGGACCCCTTTCTCAGCCCAACCCAGTGACTGAACCCTATTTCCCATGTCTCAGTCTTTTGTCCTGGAAGAGAGGGTGCAGGTGACAGTCTGTTCTTGTCACTGGCCTGTCTGGGTCTGTCTGTGGCTAGTGCAGAGTGTGGGCCATTAGACAGAGTCCTTCGTGGCTCTTTTTTTAAAAGCCTATTATTTTAATTTCCAAACCTTTTAGGGGAGTTAGGACAGCAGCTACAACCTCACGTTCGGTCTGCCTCTTCATTATGACAATTTATGACTCAGAGTCACAAACTGACCATTCCTTTGGCCACCACATCCTGTCCCACT